GAGGCGCCGCGGCAGGAGCCCGCGGGCGGGAGGCGGGCTCTGGCGCGGTGCCTGCTGGGTAGTGTAGTTCTCTTCAGCTTCTGGGGCGGCGGGCGGGAAGGGTCGCCCCTCAGGGCTCCTCGGGGGTACTTCCCGCATCCCCCTCGGCTCCGCTTGTCCCGCTGGGGCTCCATGCGCGCCCCTTTTCCCTCAGCCCACGCGTGGGGTGGGCCCTGGGCCCGAGCTGGTGCCTCATCCCACCTTCCCGCACCGTCACGGGCGTAAAAATGACCGTGAACGTGGCAGGCGAGTTTTTCTTTCCAAGAGGTTGATAGTGTTTAATCACGCGCCGTGCGTTTTCTTTTCAGCCTGCAATATTAAACTGCGTCTGGATGTGGCTGCTCTGCCATGAAGAGTTGCCCCCCTGGGCTGCCAGAGTCACCGAGGTGTCGGGTGGGGAGATGTCTGGTGTGTGTGATCATCAGGGAATCACAGAACGGTGGAAGGACCTTCAAGATCATCCAGTTCCAACCTCCCTGCCATGGGCAGGGACACCTCCCACCATTCCAGGCTGCTCCAAGCCCCATCCAACCTGCCCTTCAACACTGCCAGGGATGGGGCAGCCACAGCTTCTCATTCTGGATGCTGTTGGTGTCAGACACATCTTGGGGTTTCTCTTATCTCATTATGAGGCAAGAAGTACCTTTATGCAGCTGGAATTGATGAATATATCTTGTTTTGTCTCTTCCACCATCTGGCCTCTTCACTTGTGTTATTACCCCAGGAAGGCCCAATCTCCTGCTGGGACTTCTTGACAAGTAGCAACAGACACGTAACAATAACCATCATATTTAGGGAGCTTCATCTTTTCTTTCTGCCCCTTCCAGGTCCTTCATCTGTTTGGTGCAAGGAAGGATAACCTGTTTGGACCAAAATGACACCGAATCCTTCCACTCCCCTTGCAAAGAATTTGTCCCCACGTGTTTACAAAGTGTTCACGAGGGATTATTGCAGCCCTGCCAACTGACACACTTCATTTCTCTGAATCAATGCAAACATCATGTTGGTTACATCCCCAGAACTGCTCACATGTCCTTGATACATTTTCAAGCTATTTTTATTTGGGTGTAAAGTGTCTATCAGCCAACATTTCAGCAGCATCTGCCTTCCTTGGGGCTTAAGATATTGCTGAAGCATTGGCTGATAACCACTTTACTGCTAAATAAGAATTGCTTGGAAATATATCAAGGACACATGAGCCATTCTCTTGAGGCATGTGACGTGATGTTTATGCCTGTTTTTATAGATGTTAAACCAGTTTCTATGAGGGGGCACTGGTGTGTATTCAGCACTCTGGTAACTAGTGTTTTTAAGGGAATAAATGGATGGTGCCTCTATCTGTCTTGACACAGTGTGAGCACCAACAAACTGAAGGTAATGATTTTTTTTATTAATCTTTTTCTGCATCCAGAATGTTTACAGGGGGGGAAAATTGTGGGTTTTTTCAGATGGTGATGTCACTGTTGTGGAAATGCCCATCTCCAGATCAGAAGCACCTCTTCTATTATGTTTGTCCTCTTTTTGGGAGGGTGCTGCAAAGAGTCTTGTCTTCCTTAGCAGAAAGAATTGTATTTAGGAATTATATTTAGGAATTAAGGTTTTAACAACAGCTGTCTTCTGCCAGGGGGTTTTATGATTGTTTTGTATGACTAAAAATTATAGAATGCTTTAACATATGTGTAGATTTCAGGAGGGAGAAAAAGAACAAATGGGCAAAATTACATCTCAGAATTGCTTTGGGTCATTTTGATGTGTCCATAAAGTTCACTCACTGTAGGAAGA